CTCATAAACCTCTGAAAGTTCATATCTCAGCCATTACTTTGAATTGCCACTCTGGGAAAATGGGGGTCTGCCCTTCATTGGGTGTGGTGTCCTGACTTCCCTTTCATTTTGGGCTTGCAAGGGTTCCCCTCTGATTGGTTGTGGCCAGTCTGCAGGGTCATCCATACCCCCAGTGTCAGCAGTGAGAGGCTACCTTCTGGTTACTGTGTCTGGTGCCTTCTTTCAGATTTTGGAGGCAACATCAATGTGGAGACCATCAGTGCCTTTATTGATGGTGGAGGCAGTGTCCTGGTGGCTGCCAGCTCAGACATCGGTAAGTCTGGCCTAGGAAGGTCTGGTGCTTTCTGGCATCTTCCCCAGGGAGCCTGGAGAGTTTTACAGATGGAAGCTGTCAAATTGGCATTTGCTGGGTTGGCCCTGGCCAGGAAGTCAGTGAGGGAGCTGCTGGGCTGTTTGTTACTCGGTCCCACCTGTGCTTTCCTGTGACCAGAGACAGTGAGATATAGGTCATCGAAGGGCTGGAAACCCTGGCTGGGCATTCTTCATTGTTTTGTTTTGTTGGCTCTTCCATTCCAGAAAGATGACAAGTCAAGGGAACCCAAAGCATTTGACAGATTTTTATTTTGTTTCCTATTTTGGAGAATTTCAGAGATACCCAGAAGTAGGCAGGGAATTGCATCTTTAGCCCCATATGCTGATCGCCCAGCTTCAACAATGAACACCTGGCCAGTCTGGTTTCATGTTTCTCAGTACTGACAGGTTTTAAAGCCACCTTCCTCATAATGGAGTGGAGCAGCCCAGGCTCACCAGGTTGGGTTTGGCTAAGGTGGTCCCTTGCTTCGGAGGGGCTGAGCTGCAGTAGACGATTGTGTATTGTGGAGGGCGAGGCCCAGGCTGTTGTCTCATCAGCTCAGATTCCGCCTGACCTTTCTAGCTAAATGGATGCACCTTAAGACCATGTTCTTCGGTATCAGGAATTGAACTCAGGACCTTCTGCCTGCCAGGCAGGCGCAGTGCCACTGAGCTAAACCCCCACCCTTGAGGCCATACTCTTAAGTGAAATAAATAGGACACACATGTGTAAATACCACATTGTTTCTCTGGTGTGAGAACCTGAAAGTGGAAATAAGGACTAAAATGTATAATAGATGTAGGGAAATGGGAAGAAAATGTTCAAATGGGAAGGGGAACAAGGGAGGAGGGAGGGAGAAAGGAAAGAAGGGACAAAGAAAAAGTGAAAATAGAAGGAAAAAAATGGAAACAAAGCTTTTGTACATAGGGGAGGGGGCGGGGGGGGTGGGATGTATCATATATAGGTGCAAATTCCCCACAATGAGTGTTACCATTATATATGCCTAAAACATACCAATAAATGTTTTTGGTGTTGGAGTTGTTGGGAGCCATAAGGAAGCTGTGGCCCTGCTTGGCCTGGCCCACCCATAAGGGCTCAGCCAGGCATCTCCTGGGTCTGTGTAGGTGACCCTCTTCGAGAGCTGGGCAGTGAGTGTGGGATCGAATTCGATGAGGAGAGAACGGCTGTCATTGACCACCACAACTATGATGTCTCAGACCTTGGCCAGGTAATGAGGCCTGTCACCTTGAGGGTTTCTGGCCTGTGCAGCAAAGCTCAGCTTAGCCTAGAGACCCAGAGGGAGCCAGGAGGGACTTCTTGACCCAGGGAACCTCTTCCCAACCCTCCTCTTTCCCTCTGCTTCTTGTAGCATACGCTCATTGTGGCTGATACCGAGAACCTGCTGAAAGCCCCGACCATTGTTGGGAAATCAGCTCTAAATCCGATCCTCTTCCGAGGAGTTGGGTGAGTGAGCAGGGAGAGGCCAGCAGAAACCTGGGGGAAAGAAGGGGCCACTAAGCCAAATTTAGGATTATTTAGGGGCATTCCTTCCCCCAGAGGATGTGGGTGGATTGATTTGTTACAGCAAGAGGAGAGCTAAGTGTCTGCTATTAAGAAAAGGATTTATCCCTGGGAAGAAATGGCCCTCAGCCATCCCACACCCTTTGGGCTCAGCCCTGGATCAGTGCTGGGGTGCTATTTTCTCCTCAGGATGGTGGCTGATCCTGACAATCCCTTGGTATTGGACATCCTGACGGGCTCGTCCACCTCTTACTCCTTTTTCCCTGATAAACCCATCACTCAGGTAAGGGCCTTTGTGGTCTTGAGCCTCTGGCTCTGAGGCCCAGTGGCACAGTGCTTTTTTTATTTGAAAGTAAGAACAAAGAGGAAGCACATTGCTGAGGCTGATGAAGGGGCCAGGTGGTAGGAATGGGCACACGGGCAGCAACGGTGTGGTCTCTAGTTCCTTCCTAGGTGGGGACACTTAGGTGTCCCACGTGCTGTCCCCTTGCTCTGATGGCTTTGCCTGTCTTAGCACTGCCTGGGTGCCCTCTCCTCTGTTGCAGTATCCCCATGCCGTGGGGAAGAACACCCTCCTCATCGCCGGGCTCCAGGCCAGGAACAACGCCCGGGTCATCTTCAGCGGCTCCCTGGACTTCTTCAGTGATGCCTTCTTCAACTCAGCAGTGCAGAAGGCTATGCCTGGTGCCCAGAGGTGGGCATGGGGGTGGGAGTGGGGCCTGGGTGCATGAACTGGGAGGTGTGGTCTGTGTATGTGGGGAGGAAAGAGCTTTGTAGCTATAAGTGTCAGAGGCTGCATGCCTTCTGGGACTTTCAAATTGTGAGGTGACCTTGTTGCTCTATTGCTGGTGTTGGCGCTTCAGACTTTCCAGGGTAATGGCAGATCTAAAGACCCCAACCTTCACCACTCCTTTTAGAAAATTGTGACTTGTGCAGACCACCACCAGCCACATCTTGTTATCATTCTGTGCTGCCCTTAACCATGGACCCCTAGATGCATGAGGCCTACCACAGTCCTTGCTTACATGCACTGTCTTGGTGTCAGGCACCCCCGGGAAGAGGCTGGCTCAGGACCCCTGGCCTCCTTTTCCCTCCTGCAGGTATCCCCAGACGGGCAACCATGAGCTAGCTGTGGCCCTCTCGCGCTGGGTGTTCAAGGAGGAGGGTGTGCTCCGTGTGGGGCCTGTGTCCCATCATCGAGTGGGTGAGATGGCCCCACCCAATGCCTACACTGTCACCGACCTAGTGGTAAGAGCTCTTGGGGAAGGGCCCTGAGGCTTTGGCCAAGTTGAATCAGTGCAGCTCAAAATCATTCATCAATTGTTTCAGGCCAGGTCAGAAGTATGGGGCAGGGTAAGGGGAATAAAGAAGGATCAGTATGTTTACCTGCATCCCAAAGTAGGTACTTTGAGATGCAGAGCCTGGCACTACACCACCAGCCTAACAGAAGACTCTTTGAAGAAGCTGTGTCATTATGGGATTGCAGCTGCTTAACTCAAAAAGATTGTGCCGCTTAACCCTGCTCAAGAAGTGGGATTTATGAGAGAAATGACATTTCACTTGGGTCTTAGGATGGTTCTGTCAGGTGTCCGTTGCTTGACAGTGCCTGGTGTATTTGGGGATGCAGAAGGCTTTCAGCTTTGGATTCTGTGCTAATTACCTTGGACCATGATGAGGCAGGGCTGCCACCAGGCCTTCTGGGCACTGTGGTCAGACAGGAGGGTGGGAATTAAAGGCACTGTGATGCACCTGCAGCCACTGTCACCCTGGCTGACCCAGCCTTTTGTCTCAGGAGTACAGCATCGTGATTGAGCAGCTCTCCAATGGCAGATGGGTTCCCTTTGATGGTGATGACATTCAGCTGGAGTTTGTCCGCATCGATCCTTTTGTGCGGACCTTCTTGAAGAGGAAAGGTAAATGTGATTCCTGCCAGAGCAGGCCAGGGGTGTGCACGGGGGGGGGGGTGTGTTAGTGCAGCCTGTGCCCCACACTTGCTCCCACGACGCTTGGCTGAGAAGCACTTGGAAGACCCTCCTGGTAATGTGTTGCTTCTTCCCCAGGTGGCAAGTACAGCGTCCAGTTCAAGTTGCCTGACGTGTACGGTGTCTTCCAGTTCAAAGTCGATTACAACAGGCTTGGTTACACGCACCTGTACTCTTCCACTCAGGTGAGTGGGCCATCCCTGTTCAGTCAGCGGGTGCCCTTCTCAGGTCTCCCAGCGGCTGGGCCTGCCACTTCTGTCCTGTTTCAGGTGTCAGTGAGGCCACTACAACACACACAGTACGAGCGCTTCATCCCCTCGGCCTATCCTTACTACGCCAGCGCATTCTCCATGATGGTGGGGCTCTTCATCTTCAGCATCGTCTTCTTACACATGAAGGAGAAAGAGAAGTCAGACTGAGGGGCAGAGGCCCAGGACTCCAAACAGCAGGGAGGCAGAGGGTTTTTATGTGGGGTGTGTGTTGTGTTTTTGTTTTGTTATTAAAGCCATGAGAAAATGGCACAGCCTTACCTCAGTGGGAGATGCAGCATTGAGTACCAAGGTGGGGGGGGCGGTCAGGGAATCATTTTTGTGTGTTTTCCCACCATGAATTGCCACATGGCATTTTTAATAAGTGCAGTCATTCCCATTTCAAAAATAAAAAACGTTGCCCTCACACCTCAGCCGGACCCTGTCATGGTTTGTTGATGCTGGGGTTGCTGTTCGGCCACAAAAGTGGCTGCTTTTGCTTGTGCCAAAAACTGGGCTGTCTAGCTGAAATGATAGCACATCCTGACTTCTCAAGGGCTAAAATAAATTTGTGAATTCACTGAGGAGGAGTGGGGAAGCAGTGAAATGGGAAATTTAAAATGACAGCTCTGGATTAATGGAATTAGAGAACTACTTGGTTGAAAAAACCCCCCAAAGTTTAAGTTTACCTTGCTTTAAGGAATAGCTCTATTCTTTTGTAAGATTTGTAAAATGCTCCTCAATGTTGACATCTGCCTGTGAAATTTTTTTTTTTTTTTGGTACCAGGGACCGAACTCGGGTCCTTGCACTTGTGCAGGAGGCGGCAAAACCACTGAGCTAAATCCCGGGCCCCTGCCTGTGAAATCTTCAGGGTATAAGAATCATTCAGTCAGATATTTAGTTCGGCACATATGTATTCTGCATTATAAACTTGGCTTCATGTCTCACAATTCATGTAAGAAATGTTAGTCCAAAGGTAAATCAATGAGTTTAAAACACCACATTGTTAATTTCCAGCCATGATTTTAACTGAGCCAGATTAATTCGGCAGCACTATGGGAATGCTTTCTCAGGTGCACCCCATCAGTGTGCAGGTTTGCCACCTCCTGGCCTTTGTAGTTCTTCTTGCTGATGCCTGAAATACTGACCTGCACAAAGGTTTGCCGCAGCCCAGGAGGCACATGCCAGCTTGGTCCTGTGGCCACCCTTTGCAGACAAGCCACAGCCCATCCCTGGAGCTGGGGGTGAATGTTACAACCTCCACCACCCACAGACACCGTCTTGGCTTAGATCCTTTCTGATCCAGGCATAGGTCCAAGCCCCTCACCACAGCTGCTCTAACAGATCAGATGGTGTTCACTTTGGGAGATCTGTGAGGACAGACCTGGGGTTTTAAGATGAGGCTTTCTGGTGGGCAGCAGAGGCACCCAGTGTAACTTCTCCACTGGTGCAGAGAATGCGTTCCTTTGGATCTGTATGCAGAGAACTCTCATCTTTAGCGTTGATAAAGAGACCTAGTGATCAGTTAGCATTATTTTTTTAGACTTAGGTCTTGTGAAGGTGTCTAGACCAGGGGTTGGCAATCTGGCCACCAAGTATAAGGTTTTCATGCTTCTTCATGGTTGAAAAAATGGAAGAACTTGGAGACACATGAAAATCAAATTTGAGGGCCCATAAATGAAGCTTTGCTGGGATGCAGCCATCCTCATGTGTTTACATAGGCTGCTTTCGTGCTTTGATGACAGAATTGAGTAGTTATAACAACTTAATGTACTATCTGGCCCTCTCCAGGAGTTGCCAATGCCTCGTTTAGACTAGCGTCTTGATTTCACAGGCAGGACAGCTTAAGTCCACACAGGTTATGGGACACCACACAGCTGGAGTCAGTGACCACAGACTAAAGTTCGACTCAGTTCCTCCCGGTGGCCAAACCTGAAGCCTTCTCTGGCTGACCAGCCCCCACACCAGCTTCTCCTGACTTGCACCCTACCAGCCAAGCCCCTCCCTCGCACTCACACACCGTCAGCACACAGATGCTGCCAAGTCGTTTAGTAATGTGCCAGCTGTAGTCAGGGAGCTGCCCGCCACGAGCAGAGGAGGAGGGCCGCCTGGTAGAGCGCCTCACACTCCAGGTTAGCCAGGAACAAGGTCTTCAGCTTCGTTTCCATGCAGGTCTTCTCTGTCAGCCTGTCAGTCAGCAGTGCGGCAGCTGACTGCTGGAGGAGCCAGCTGATCATCTTGTCTAATTTCAGATTCTTAAAGGCTAGAATGTCTCCACCCCAGAGGTTTAAATGAAGCACATTTGCAGCCACTCGGGCAGATGGTCTCTGCAACAGTAAGGGAAACAGGCTTAGAACAGTTGGACAAGCATTCAGCCCACACTTGCTTCATTAATGACCCAGGTTAAAGTAAAGTGGCAGGGAAGAAGCCACATGTCAGTCCCTTCATCTTCCTCAGGGCATTCCCAATCCAATTCTTCCACCCTCTGCCCCTCCTGATTCCCTTCCTCAGCTGACCAATACTAGCTGCCACCTACTGGGCTTCAGGCTTTTCCACCTGTACAGCTGTGCATGGGGGCAAAAGCTTGGGTGGAATACCGTCCATTTGAGAGGGTCCATATGCCTCTTGTGTATGGCTGTCTGGTCCCTGCTCAAGGCAAGGTACATTCTCATCACTTCCTAACTGGGTGTAGTTGCTGTTCTACAAGCTCCACTGTGACCCAGGAGGTGTGTGCAGTGAGAGGGCACCAGTAAATGGTAACAGCGGTGTGAGGCCAGGATGCCTGGGCTGTTTCTGCTCAGCAGCACCTGGATGGACCTGCCACTCCAATTATGGCTTCACACAGACTTGCCTTTATGTTAATTTCACAGTGGCCAGGTCTCCTCTCTGGAGATGTTTTCCCATCTCTCTGCTTAGATCTCAGCTGTTTACACATGCTACATCACTATTAAACGTACCTCAAAAATGCATCATTTTCTCTCTGAGTAACTTCCTATGCAACTATGAAAGCCAAGAAGTGGGACTGTTAGAATTCTGACTAATGGTTTGGTGACCAGCTTCTTTACACCCACACTATAGTTTAATACAAATGTTCCCCAAGACTCAGGTATTGAGGTGCTGATCTCATTGGCAGATTAACCCACTGCTGATTGCACAGCTGAATATGCTATTAGCAGGCAAGGCCTGTTTGGAGGAAGGAGGGTCTCTGGGGGTGTCCCTTTGAAAGGTGCATCTTTTCTCTGGCTCTTTCCAACTCTGCTTCCTGCTGCCATGGGTTGAGCAGCTTTCCTCCACTATGCCCTTCTGCCATGGTGTTTCTGCCTTGGATCTAGCTGACCATGGGCTGAAACTTTAGAAATCATAAGCCAAAATCAACGTTTTCTCCTTAAAACTGTATGTCAGGTATTTTTGTCCCAGCCAGCAGAAAGGTGACTGACACACTTCTGTTTACACTCACCTCTACTCCATTTTCTCCTGTAGCTGGCCCTGGCCTGTGTAAGACAGATGCTCTGCCTGCCACTGTAGCCCTTGCTCAAACCTGACCTTCACTCTGAGATGTGAACAGAGTGAAGTTTCCCCTCCACACAGTCCCCTCAAAGCCTGGGAGCAGCCTCACCTTGCTGGCCTCTCGCTGGAGCAGTGCCCTCACCAGCCGTCTCATGTCTAGAGGCACTGACTCGGGCAGTGCAGGCAGCTGAGCTTCTTGGTAACTTCGGCTTTCTAGGTAGGTGCTGCCTTGGCCGTAAAAGGGATTGGTGAGCCCAAAGATTTCATAGGCGATTGTTCCTACTGCCCAGGCATCGGCCTTGCTGTAGTCAATCACTGCCCTGGGGCCAGGATACGCCGTGGACACCTGCTCGGGAAGCAGAGGGTGAGACTCACATGCTGGCAAGTCTACAGTTCATGCTCCCGTGTGTCACCAGAGCCAGGGGTTTGAGTGGGCTGTGACTCAGACCCACAAGGACCTGCTGAGGCTGCCTGAAAAACTCACATCTCCAGGAACATTAGGGAGACCTGCGTTGAAGCAAAGTGGCAGGGAAGAAGCTGCATGTCTGTCCCTTCACTGTGAGAACAGAGTGTTGGTGGAGGATGTGCAAAGGGACTCACCTCAGGAGCCATCAGGCTGCCGTTCCCGCCCCGATCCACGTACCAGCTGGGGAAAGGTAACTGCAGGCCGATGTTCTCATCAGCCAGGCAGCAGCCAAAATCAGAGATCACAAGCCAGGGGCAGCCGTCTGCAAAGGAGGGGGCCGAGGTAAGCACAGTCTCCTCCTTCCCTTTGACAGGCTGCCTGGGTCCCTCTGGAAAACCACCACGACGTCTGGGTGAGCTGGGCTCACAGGGTCTGTGTTGATCCAGGAGTGCAGGCCAGCAAGGCCTGGGTGGGAGTCTGCTTGCTAGAAAGCTGATGTGGCAGGGATGCGGAAGTGCCTTGGGGAAGAAAATGCTCGGGCAAAGGGCTAGATAAAAGACTCTGGCTCTACCTAAATAATTTTCAAGTAACCAGATCTATCCCTGGAAAGGAGCTGGTGTTTGGCTCAGATAATCTCTAAGGGCACTTAAACTCCAGCAGTCTTGGATTTGAATTCAAAATCCCAATAAATCTAAGAAACAGCTACATTAGGAAGTAGTTATTTGTAAAAGGATTCACATAGCTCCTTTAAAAAGCCAGTTCCTTTAGTCATTTAGTTGCACATTTAATTATTTTAAAATCTCTAGTTTAAAGATTCATCATATGTATGAATCACTTTAACAGTACTCCCAGGCAGGTGGCCTCTGCTCAAATGATCCCAGTGATGGGGAAGTCATTATTGCCAGAGGCAGCATTTGGACAGCTTTCACTGCTTGAAACTTATTCTTCTTATTGAGCTAAAGTCTGCCTCTTTTTAGTCAAGAAAAATTGCAGCACCAAGGCTCTTGATCTGTAATGGGACAACAGAGAGGAATTTAGGAACTGTTACAGCATGGTCATCTGTCCCCTGGATCTGACTTAGGACAGCGTGAAAAGCCCAGCGCTGCCCTCCATGCTCCCTGTAGAGGTGTGAGGGGCGCAGGTGCTTACCTGCATCCAGCTCCACGAGGATGTTGTCAGACTTGAGGTCTCTGTGTGCAATGCCCTGCTGAACCAGATGGTCCACACCTTCCAACAGCTGCAGGGTCATCACAGTGGCCAGGTGGGGGCTCGGAGTGCTCATGTGAAGGTACTGGCGCAGGGTGCAGGGATAGCTGGGAGAGGACAGGGCCTCTGGCTATCACACAGCCAAATCCCTAGCATCTGAGCCTTTCCTCTTCACTTGCCTGTGGCTTCTGGATTTTTCTCCTACATATCCTTTCTGTTGCCACCCAACCACCATCCCAAAGCTAGGGAGTCAGAGCTGAGGCTCCAGAGGTTCAAAGTAACAGTACAGCCACTTGGTTCCTCAAACACCCAGTGCAGCAGAGATCGGTGGTTCCAGGGGTGAGGAAGGAGGAGCATCTCTTTAGGCAGGGCAAGCCATGGAGAAAGGGGAGCAGGCAAATGTACCCAAAGCACTGGGTGAGAAGGATGCTCTGGAGGAAGAGGAGTTTAGCTTCCCTGAGAATGGACCCTAAAGGGAAAGTGCTCTCCATCTAGGGCAATGCACACCTGCTGCCTGGTCTGTTCCTCCCTGAAGCCAAGGAAGCACTGCAACAACAGGGAAGCTCCCATTGGGAAGGAGAGGAACCCCCAGGTCCTGCCATACCCCTGCCACTTACTTCTTCATAACGAGGAACAGTGTGCGTCCATGGCCTAGGCCTTTGGGGTGGAGACGAGGGGGCAGCACATCTGGGTAGTCATCGAGGGCCCCTGGCAGCAGTGGCACCGAGGAGGTGAAGGCGCGGAAAACTCGGATGATGTTGGGGTGTGGGGCAAGCTGCTTGGGACCTCCCTTGGATTTTCTATTCAGTCAGATGAGACAAATGTATGAGGCCAGCATCAGAGACACCAGTTAGAAAAGGAAATGATCTACGGCCCCAACAAATACTTGCACTCATTTATTTACCAAATATTTACCATAGATGTGCTATTCTGGGTATTATACATGGTGTTGGGGACAAAAATCCAATGAGGATCATGCCCCCTGTGGCTTATTTTAGATGTCCCCCCAAAGCCTCATGCAGGCGAGATAGGGCTTTATTTTTTAGAGATGGCTGAATTTAGAGTGTATGGTGCTGGGATTAAGGGCTTGTGATTACTAAACCAGTATACATGAGTGACTGGTTTGGCACCACCCTAATCCTGGTTCTCTGAATAAGATAAAAGGGGCAGAAAGACACTGTTAAAGTCCCTTGTTGCCTTTGCCATGTTCTGCCGCCATGGACTACTGCCCCTCTGCCATGCCACCCTGCCTTGGAGCCAGCCAATTATGGACTGAAACCTCTACAAACAGTGAGCTAAATAAACCTTTCCTCCTTTAACTTTGAGTATCAGATATTTTGTCTCCGCAACAAGGGAAAAGTAACTCCGTCCTTCATCCCATTTTGTCCATCCATCCATCCATTCCTCCCTCCCTCCCATATGGCAGAACACAGTGGTCAAGGGACCCTGTGACAACCTGGCTTTGAATTCCAGGTCTGCCATTGTGAGTTCCTGGCCAAGTCATTTATCTCTGGGCTCAGTGCCAAGTGCAAAGGGGCATAAGGCAGGGGCATGCTGTATAAGGCTGGTAATACATGTCAAGTGCCTAGAATCATGGTCAGCACAGTAAGCACTCAGCAAATATTGGCTGTTACTACTACTGATTCAACTAACATTTACTGTTACCACACTAGGTACTGGACACTGTGCTAGCATGCTGTGGAGCTCAGCAGACAACAGGCCAGAGTCCTGTCCTCATGGGTTCGCAGTCTAACAGGAGAGGGACACTCACTGACTAAATAATGAAGGACAGGGATGCTGCTTAAATAGTTTCCATGGTTTCAGATTCTAGCATTGTCTTTGGTGAATGCAGAAGTGGACACATACAGTTAGTAGCTGTGATATGATCTATTTGTTCTGTCCTTTCCTCCTGGAAGCCCGCCCACAAACCCTCGGAGGCACAATGTCCACCTTGGACAGGGTGGGTCTGAGGGCTGTGTGCCAGCCCCACCTCTCAATCAAAGCTGACTGGACCAAGGGTGGGCACCTGCACCAAGGGCAGTGTGCCTACAGGCACACCAGAGATCAGATGGTCAGTGGAAAAAGGGACAGGACAGGTAGATCCTCTCTTTAGGAGTACAGTGAAGAAGCCTGCCAATGACGATGGAGCTGAGGTGGAAGAACACTCCAGGACTTCACTGGGCCACAGAAAGCCAGAGGGGTGCAAGTTGAAGGTCAACAGCAACAACCAGCCACAGGGGAGGAGATAAGATGCTGATGGTGAAGAGAGACCACAGCAAGGCCCAGAGGCAAGGCCAGATGATGCTGAAGAGCAAGACACCTGGCCTGCCCCTTGAGCTTTGTGGACTCAGCCCACACATGCTCTTGTCTGCTCCCTCTGTGTCACCCTGGGGTGCTCCTGTTCCATGCAGCATGGCTCATGCCATTGGGCAGGAGGGAGAAGCAGAACCGCAGTGAGATTGCCTGGCCCCAGCAGATGTCACGGGAGTGCGGAGGCAGAGCTGGGGCTGTGCTGGAGAGGTATGTGAGGTGTCTGAACTGAGACCTATACGGGTACAGCTGACTGCACACTTGGGACTGTCGGGATGTCCCTACTCCACTGAGAAAAGTCCTGTGGACTTCCGTATGTGGGGGGCAGCGTAAAGATGGGGAAGGGCAGAAATAAGGTGGGAGAAGCAGGGAAGGGATCAGATCACAGAGGCTCTGCATCCCAGGCCCCTCAGAGCGCAAAGGCTGGGCGGTGCTGCCCACAGAGTGGTCTCAGGGAAGAGTGTCTCCTGAGACCCAGCAGCACCTCAGCTCACACCCTTGCCCCAGCCACCCCAACAGGCACTGACAGAACTGGGGCAAACAAACAAATGTCATGACAACACTTAAAGGGAGGCCAATGCTGCCAGGGCAAAAGGAACCATCTGCAGCTCCTCTAAGCCCTAGTAGCTGACGCTCAGGTGTGTGCTTTTCTCTGCAGAGTTAGGAGGCAGCAAGGACTGCAGTTCTAAGCCACCCCAGCAGCTGCTCCCTTCGGCTGCAGCCTCAGTCTCACTGCAGCCTCCCAGGCTAGGATTTCCATGTGGGGTCGCTAAGTTTCCAATTCTGTCTCCTTGCTTTTGACAGAACTAAGTTCTATAAACCAGCCCTCCATAAATCACCAGAACTGCAGCACCCCCTCCACCATGGGGTTCAAATGTTAAGGGGAGCATGAGTGTCCCCTCTGTCACCAGCAAGAGCGTCAGGCATCGCCACCTGTAGATTTATGAGCTGAAGTGTAGCAGCAGTCCATGTGCTCCTCCCTCTGCTGCAGGTGCCTCCTGTCCTGTACCTAGATAATGGCTGTCATCCTTCCAAAGGCAGCATCAACTGTCCCTCTGAGAAGCCTTCTGAAGGGCCCCTCTTCCTCCTCCTCTGGGCTCCCTCAGCCTCTGTGCCCTGGGCTCTCTGCTCAATACCTGAGGGGCTCTGGCGTCACTCTTGGGGAATGGACTTTTTACACATCTCTGCATCAGCAGGCGCTGAGGATCTTGGTGGAGTGCTTCTTCCTACAGGAACAGGGCTCATTTGTATCACTAGGTGGCACTGCACCTGTGCACGATCACAAAAATCAGAGACCTCTATTTATCAGCATTCTGAACTGGGCAGGACCTTGTCTCCCTGTGTGAATTAGCAGTCTGCATTGCTAAATGGGGTCAGGAGATTGTCAGTCTTTCCCAAGATCAACTGTCCACACACTGATCTGAGATCAGTGTGCATTAGGCCTTTATTGTCTGCTGTGTGGCTGGTCAGACACACTGTGCGGAATGCTGGGGACCAGGGAGATTGTGCTCTCAAAGGCACTTGCTCTTTACAGGCACTTACCTGTACGCGACTGCTCCATACTCCCCAGCCAAGGCCACTCGACTAGCTGGGACCAGCTCCTGGCTCATTTTGCTCAAGATGGCTTCGCTGGAAGAGCCCGCCTGGAACAGTATAATGCAGCCAGTGTTACACAGTCCGGATGGAAGGCAAGTTCCAAGCCCCACCTGTAATCTGGACCAGATAGCTGCTTCCTGAACTGGCTTTGACCTTCCAGATAAGATAACCTCTCAAATCTGCCTTTGAGCCTGATCCCTGGGTAAACTGTGGGGATAATTTGCAGCATGCAGCTTCAGAATCTCATGTAAATGAACAAGGAAGCCTAACCACAGAGTACCCTGTCTGTGGAGAAGCTATGTCCTTTTCCATCTACTTCAAGGAAAAAAACCCACCAGGAGGTCCACTTAGATGGGCATTTGGAGAAAGAGGACGGGGCCTGTCCTTACCGAGATGTTCCACATCATCTTGATGGCGAGGGGAAAGGCTGGGGCCCCTGCAGCCTGTTCATCCTCTCCATGTGGGATGACGTCTGGGCCTCTCCCTGGAAGCAGCCTGGTGCTCTTTGTCTTCTCTAGGTACTGGGGTAATGTAAGCAGGGTGGCTTCATACACGGCAGCACTGCAGCCCTTGCCAAGGGACTGTCCAATCAGATAGTCCTCCAGCCGGAAGCCCTGCCAGCATCGCATGTCTAGCGGGACAGGAACTGGCTTGTTTTTCTGGGTAAAAATTGCCTGTGAGGAAACAAACCCACCATGACCAGGGGGCTCCAGGTGAAGGCAAAGAGAGTGGAGAGAGGTATAGTGAGGCTGGGTCCTCACAGGTAGGATCGAGAGCCAGTCACAACACCCACCCTGGGTTTGACTGCTCACCCTGGGTGCAGGCCCTGCTTCTGTCTCTGTTTGGAATAATCTTTTTCCCACTCTGCTGAGCCATGATCAGAGCATACTGGACACAGCACTGCAAGTCAGCAAGCAGGTGAGAACTTCCAGGCCTCGCAGCTGCTTTTGTGGGCCTCACTGTCCCTGCGGCCTTGGGCTGTCTGGAAACAGCTCTCTGAAGACTTTGACAGCTCTGGGATGGCTACCAGGGCTGTGGGATCAACAGGGACCCCAGGTGGCCTTGGCAGGGATGGGTAAGATCAAGAGTAGCTGTGAGCTGAGTCACTGAGTGCTATCTTCCCAGCTGGGCCTGGCGGGTGCTGCCCAGCTAGCACTGCTCAGAAAGGCAATGAGTGTGCATGTGAGAGTGCTGACGGGAGCAGGCTGGGTGGGAGTGCTGGGACTTCGCAGGGCTGGGACCTACAGCCCATTTCCCAATCTCTGGGCTGGTCCCTGCTCCAGGTGGTGATGTCATTTCTCATCACCCAGGCTCCACTTGTGTTCTCAAATGGTCTGATCTGGTGACCTCTTCCTTTCCAAATACACAGTCAGTCACCCTTGAGTGCCAGGGGCATTTAGTACCCAAGCCTTCTCTTGGGGTTGGGAACAGGGAAGTGATATATGAAGCAGTGCCATGCAATCTGGCCCAGAGGGCAGTGAAGGGACTGTGTGATCGCAGAGAAGTCCAAAGTGAGTGCCCCTTAGCAGGCTACCAAATACTGTCAGCCCTCCATACCTGCAGGTTCTGCACCTATGATTCAGCCAACTGTGGATGGGAAATACTTGAAAAAAAACCTACAAGTGTACCAAACATGTATAGAATGTTTTGTCATTATTCCATAAACAATGCACTATGATAACTATATGCATGGCATTTACATTATATGGCCATTATAAGTTACCTAGAGATGATTTACAGGAGGACCCGGGCAGGGTCTATGCAAATGCTAGCCCATCTTTTATAAGGGAATTGAGCATCCAGGGGTTTTGGTATCTGGAGGAGGTCCTGGAACCAATATCCTGTGGATGCCAAGGGACAACAGTGCCTTGTCCTGCAGTTTTGCCTGACTAGGCTGAGCCTGTCAGCCTGAGCTTTCAGCCACTTCTCTGTAGACTCCTGCTCATACCACCCGGTGCCCCTCATGTCCTCAGTCTTGCTCTGCCTGGCACATCTCTATTCCCTCATCAAACTCAACCCAAGCTCCTTCCTCTACAAGAAGCCACCATGATGACCTAGCCCATGGCAACTTCCTTCTGGAGAATTCCTAAAGCACTCAGTAGATATACATTACACAGTAACTCTGAACTTTTTAATAAAAATGAAAGTCTAAACTAGGAGTGGTGGCACACACCTGTAATCCCAGCACTTGGGAGGCTGAGGCAGTACTGCCGTGAGTTCAAGGCTAGTCTCAACTACATAGCAAGGTCCTGTCTCAAAAAAAAGTCTAATCTTCCCTATCTTTCCTAGCCAATAAGTTGGGGTTTTTTATTTGTTTTTTGAGACAGGGTCTTACTATGTAGTTCAGGTTTGCCTTGAACTCACTATGTAGTCCAAGTTGGCCTGGAACTCCTGGAGATCCTCCTGCCTCAGCCTCCCAAGTGCTCGGATTACAGGTATGTGCCACCACACCGGGAAACCAATACATTTTATAAATTCCACGGAGCAGAAGCAAAATTTTATAGAATAATCCCACATCAACCATGATTTTGAAAATAAGATAATTTTTAAACTTTTTTTTTTGGTACCAGCGATCAAACTCGGAACCTTGTGCTTGTGAGGCAGGCAGTAGAGCCACTGAGCTAAATCCCTGACCCTTACTTTTGTTTTTTTTTGGGGGGGGGCAAGTATCTCACTATGTAGTTCAGGCTGGACTTGAACTCCTGGCAATCCTCCTGCCTCAAACTCCTGAATGCTGGGATTACAGACGTGTGCCAGCACTTCCATTTGTTGTGGTTTGGATCTAAAATGTCCCCCAAACAGCTCATGGTTTGACATGGCTTTTGGAAGGTGATTGGGTCACAAAGCTTTGGTGGATTATTGGACGATGTCCCGGCTCACTCACCTCCTGCCTGCCCTGAGTGCACCCATGCTTCCCAGCCATGCTGCTCGGCCTCACTGCGGGTCCAGAAGCAAAGGGAACTGAGCAACCATGGATTGAGAGCTCTGTACAAGCCAAAGTGACCCTTTCTCCTTTAAGCCACCTTTACCAATATTTTCTGGTTTTGTTTTTTGTTGTTTTTTTTTTTTTGGTTCTGGGGAGTAAACTTGGGACCTTGTGCTTTCGAGGCAGGCAGGGACACCACTGAGCTAAATCCCTAGCCCATCAATATTTTCATATGGTGACAGAAAGCTGACTACCACTCCAAAGTATGTGGTTCAGCAGCATGAAGCACATCCACAGTGTTGCGCAGACACCATCACCATCACTCCAGACATTTTTCTCATCTTGCAAAACTTAAACTGTGGGGCTGGGGATTTAGCTCAGTTGTGCTGTGCCTGCCTTGCAAGCTGCACGATCCTAAGTTTGATCCCGGGCACTGGAACAAAACAAAACAAAACAAAACAAAACAAAACAAAACACCTGAAACTGTGTATCGATGAAACAGGAACTCTGGTTCTCCCTCCCACCCTGCCTGGAACCACTGTTTCATTTTCTGTCTCTGAATCTATTCTGGGAACCTCTCATAAGGGAACTGCACACCATTTGACTTCAAGGTTTGCCCACGTTGCAGCACATGTCAGAATTTTCTTCCTTTTTTGAGGAGGAACTGTAACATTCTATTGTGTGCACACACACATTGTCTACCTGTTTACCAGCCAAGGACACCTAGGCCACTTTCATCTCCTGATTATTATAAATAAAGCTGCTATGAACATGGTCATATAAATATGTTAATGTCTGTGCTGTCAATTATTTCGAGTGTACAATCAGAAGTGGAATTTCTGAATATAATAATTTTGTTTTTAATATTTGAGGAATCACCACACTGTTTTCCATTGCAGCTGCTTGTAAACAGGCTTTTGTATGAACATGGTTTTAATTGCTCTGGTAAATGTCCATGACTGCAAGGAACAGGTCGTATATTTAATGCATGTTTAATGTAAGAAACTGCTAAATTATTTTCCATTTTATATTACCATCCACTTATGACTGGATTTTTTTTTTTTTTTTGGGTGCTGGGATCAAACCTAGGGTCTCGTGTATGCTAGGCAAGCACTCTACCACTGAGCTGTTCTTTTTGTTTGTGTTTGTTTCTTTTTAAACATGCCTCCATCTAGGAATAGAGAACAATTATGATTTTACTCCAGTCTGACACGACACGCAATTTTAGTAATACCAGAAATACCAATCTGGTGATTTTGTTCAAGAGAAGTCAAATGCCTGACTTTTCAATGTAGAATTAATGAGTAACTAATTAAAAATTTTAAGATACAGGAGGATACTGAAGGACCCTAGCTAACAAGACAGACTCCATATTGCTGCTTGACCCACCTGCTTGCCCTTTAGATGAACTCAGAAGGAGGAAGCTTAGAAACCTCCCCGCCTTAGAGAGTCTCTTAGAAACAACAATTAATCAACTATTGTTTTACAAATGTTCTAGCGACAGGACGTTCTGCTCCTGTACCTTTTGCTTGCTTTGCTGGTTCTATCCCATAGCAGGGCCTAGAAACTGCTGGCCCCAAAGGTATATAAAATATGTTAATCTCCCCCAGTCAGGACTCAGGTCCGATGCTCTGCTCAGTTCCCGGCCAGTAATAAACTCCTGTGTGGACTTAATATCGGTCTCTGGTTGGTTCTTTCTCGCTGGGTGCAACAGATACAGTGTAAGAAAAGGACATGTGAATGGTAAACTTAGGTGGATTAATCTAAGTAAAAGGGAAAAAAAAATCTCCTTTGTTTTAAGCAGGATTTGTTAAATTTCCCATCCTTGGTTTCTGTCAGCTAAGTGGCAGCAAAAGACAAGAAAGAACAAGGGTTGGGCACCAGGCTAGACCTCACCTGTCAGCCCACACTGGGAAAAGCTCAATCAAACACAAGACACTGCTGAAGAGAAACAAGAATTGGGCTGGGAACCAGGAACAGGAAGGCTGCTTGGTCCTTAGCCTGCTGTGTCCTTGGTGCATCACTACATCCTCTACCCCTTCGGCCCTGTCTGTAAAATTCAGGACTACATTTACTCACATGAGTGGTTCCCAGGCCCAGGAAGGACCGACCTCTCTGAAGAGGGTGGAATTCTGGCAGTCGCAGCCTTCAAATTTGAACCAAAGTCTGGCTCTTCCCTGGGTCTGCAACCTGCCCTGTTGGCCTGCCCTGCAGACTTTAAGATTTGCCAGCCCATAATGAGCCAAGTTCTTAAAATAAATCCCTCTCTCTAAATATACACACCCTACTCGTTCTGTTTTGTCTGAAAACCTGATACTAGATGGTGGAGCAAATACAGAAATCTCTGAGCTATTTATTTTAAACATTTAAAAAGCCTAGCAGGGCCAGGGATTTAGCTCAGTGGTTCCACCGCCTGCCTCGAAAGCGCAAGGACTCGAGTTCGATCCCTGGTACCAAAAAAAAAAAAAAAAGGTGACAGTTTGGACTGGGGATTTAGCTCAGTGGTTCCGCTGCCTGCCTTGCAAGCAGGAAGTCCCAAGTTCGATCCCCGGTACCAAAAAAAAAAAAAAGCCTAGCACCCCCTATGTTTGCAGTTACCAGTGGTAAGTCTACACGATTTAATTAAAACGTTAGGCCTGCTGTTTTCTCCTGCTGCTGGTAGTTTTTACTGCAGTTTCAGTGGTCACTGATTAAACATTTGGCTAAACTAGGCAGCCTGGATCAGTGGTTGAGGGCAGACTTTGGAAAGCCAGATTTCGGGGACCACCTTTATTAGCTGTGTCTGAGCAAGTCAGTTCACCTCTCTGAGTACATGTCCTCCTCCACAAACTGGGGATGACAGCTACCTCAAGGGGTAAGAGTTATGACAGCTGTCATTACATTTTTAGAAAATTTACACAAAGTCATTTACCATGATGCAACTGGTGTTATAAATAGCATATTTTCCAAAACATGCTGTTTGACAAAAGGAAACAGTTAAGGAAATGTGAGCTGCTGGTCTCACACCAAACCATCAGTAAAGGTGAAATAAGTCAATTTTTTTTTGGTACCGGGGATCGAACTCAGGACCTTGAGCTTCCAAAGCAGGCGCAGTGCCAGAGCTAAATCCCCGGCCCCGAAATCAATTTTAACTGGTTATTTTCAAGGACCTTAATCTCCTCCCAAACCACTTGCACCCACCACCAGCTCAAAGCACAGCGCCTCTCCACGACACATTCCTACTTTCCAACCAAGATCCGCCCACGCATTTAGTCGCTTTTGCAGATTGTCCCGCCCCTCCCCTAATCCCGGCCCGTCCCAGGTTCAGGGCCCGCCCACAGACCCGCCCCCAAATCCCTGGCTTGGGCTGCTGGCTACACCTGCCCTCTAGTCCTGCTCCATCCCGGTTCAGGATCTGGCCCCAACCATAGCCCAGCCAACCCCGGCTCAGGGTCCGCCCACCAATCCCGCCCCGGCTCTTAGCCCCACCCACCACAAGACACGCCCACTCCTGCCCCCGCACCCAGTCCCGGGCTCACCTGGATCTCTTGGCAGGCTGAGGCTGCCCGCCTGCTCTCTGCCTGCTTTTCCTCGATGAAGCCCAGCCCCAGCCCGAAGGCCAAAAAGACCGCTCGGCCGCAAGGGCCCGCGCCGCCCCGGGCCCGCACCATGAACTGCCGCTGCAGTCGAGCCGCCAGCCCGGCCACCGACTGGCGGAAGAAGCGGTAGCGCTCGGGGAGCCCGAGCCCGAACCCACGCGCCTCTGCGCCGAGCCCCGGGGCCCGGCCCGCGCGCTCTCCACGACCCCAACCTGCCGCCGGGCCAGGCCGCCCCCAGCCGTAGGCCGCGCCGGGCTTGGCCGTGAAGCGCAGCAGCAGTGCTCGACTCAGCTGCAGGCCGCGGCCCAGCAGCTGTCGCACAGCCATGGTGGAGCCGCGACCGGTCCCGCTGCCGCCACCAGCGTCTGGGCCTCAGGTGAAAACAAACTTCTGGGCGGTTCCTCCGCGCAGCCTCAGCAGTCACTGGTGGGCGGGGCGGCGCCTGCGCCAGTTCCCTGGCTGGGGCTCGAGGGCCTCGGGCTGATTTGCATTTTGGACAACCCAGATGGAAGGTTGCCAGGTCCTTCTACTTGTAAGCATCGCTGCTCCTGACCAGAATCGAGAAATTGAGAAGGAAAACAAATATTTATTAACCTTCCTACCAGTGAGACAAATGTCAGTTTTATAGATAAAGGCAGCGGGGTGTGGTGATGCACATCTGTAATCCCAACAGGAGGCTGAAGCAGGAGGATGGTTGTGAGTTCGAGGCCAGCCTGAGCTACACAGTAACACCTTGTGTCCAAAAAAAAAGAAAAAAAAAATTGGGCCAGGTAACGTAGCTCAGAACGCAAGGCCCTGAGTTGGATTCCTGGTACTAATATATCTATAGATGGAAAGAACAGTGTGTAGGTCACATCCAAGTATCAAAGCTAAGATTAAAGTTTGAGGCTCTTTGTTGAGTTCTTTGACCTCTTCAATGCCCTTCCGCTCCTCTACAGGTCCAGAGTCCCAGAGCTTCCTCCACCCTGGAAAATCTCAGCCTAGGGCCACAGTTTAAGGGAAGGTGAGCCCAGGTCCCAAGACGAGGAAGTTTGCCCATCGTCACACAGTTTGTTAATAACAGAGTCCTGTTACCCAAACATGCTATTAGGAATCCTGATAAATAGATACTATTGAGTGATGTCTTTTTTCTTTTTCTTGTCCTTATTTTTAAAATGGGAATTTTCAGCTGGGCATGGTGGCTGAGGTAGGAGGATTGCCCTGAGTTCAAGGCCAGTCTGGGCTACATAGTTCGAGGCCAGGCTGAACTGCATAGTGAGACTGTCTGAAAAGGGGGGGGGGGCATTTTCAAATATAAATACACAAAAATAGTGAACCCCATATATTTGTCAGCCAGCTACAACAATTATCAACAGATACCCATTATTTTTTACCTAAACTTTCCTATCTCCTGCTCCATTTTAAAGCACATTTCAGACATCCTATTACTTCATTAGTAAATACTTAAGTATCTAAGAGATGAGAAGTCTCCATCCCTGGTACCATATCATCTCTAAAAAGATACTCCATAATATTCAACACTCAGGCAACATTTAGATTTCTCCATTTTTTCGTTTTGTATTAGTTATTCAGATTGGGATCCAAACAAAGTCTATGCAATTTATTTGTTTCGTGAGTTATTTTTTAGTCAGGGACTAAGTCATCCCAGAGCTGAGGTCCATGTTGTAGCACTACCTTTTTCAAATGTTCCTGCAATTTTGGATACCTGTCCCTCTTTCCCAGAAGGCCCATTGAGGATAAAAAGCTCTGAAACATGTAAAAACATTTTTTGTAGGTGTGGCCTTGTGTTTCTGTGTGTGATTAGGTAAACTTCTGAACAAGGAGACATCTGTCTGGTCTGAGAAGTGTATTCGCTCTTTTGAGTAGAAAGGCTCAGCGTAACTCATTATCTCAGAGTTTATCTCCATTAGTAAGTAAGAATAGGAAGCTTGCATGTAGAGATCAGGAAAGTGCAAAAGGACCCATCTTTGGATTGATGAACTTATGGCCAGGGATTTAGCTCAGTGGTTCTGCTGCCTGTCTCACAAGCATGAGGACCCGAGTTCAATCCTCAGTACCAAAAAAAAAAAAAAAAAAAATTTGTGAATTGATGAACTTAATCATATGTAGATATGAGATCTACTGTATAGGTATAGGAACGGGAAGTCAGTAATTTCTAAGTATAGAATTACAGAAACACATGCATATCTTCCCCAAGAATGCTCAGAGCAGCATTGTTCAGCATTGTGTAAAGCTGGAAACAACTCAGGTGCCCATGTGTAGTAGCTGGATCAATTGTGGTATATTCCCCCAATGGAATACTAAAACCGTAAGAGTAGACAGTTTACAACTACATGCAACAGCATGGATATATTTTATAAACATACCAATGAATTAAAGGCATACTAAGGAGTAAATACTGTGTGATTCCATTTATGTGAAATTCAAAGGCAGCTAAATCTATAATCTAAAATGAATAATCCAAGTCAGGATTGTGAATTCCTTTGGGAGGGTAGTTATTAGAAGGGGACCTGAAGGGCCGGAGATTTAGCTCAGTGGTTCTGCTGGTTGCCTCACAAACACAAGGACCAGAGTTCGATCCCCAGTACCAAAAAAAAAAAAAAAAAAAAAAAAGAAGGGGATCTGAAAAGACTTTGAGTGCTGTGACATTCTCTTTCTTGATTTGTGTTTGTTCATGTGGTGAAAATTTGGATCACTGTACACTTGATTGAGACAGGAGATTAGGGCGTGGCCTGCCAGCTGGGCAAGTGGGTGTGACCTGTCAATCACAGAGAGCCAGGAGGCAGGCTGCATTCCCCGAAAAACAGTTGCCATGTCCTGTACCTGGAACCAACTAGAAAGTGCTATCTTCAGTTCTTCTGGTGTGAAATCAAGCAGGTTTTTGATAGTATGGCTAGATCTGACGTCAGCCTAAAGAGTAGGGGTCCTAAGGATGTCAGCCATTAACCTCATGGCCACAGGTTTCTCACTCTGCAGAGGTACCTCTTTTCCTATCTTTAATAAATGTAAAACCTTACTGCCTTTTTTGCTGGTCTTGTCCAGTTCTTTGGAACAAGAACCTGGAAAGAATCCCTGGAGAGAACTCAACAGAACCCCAGTAACACTATGCTTTGTGTAGTTTTCTGTGTGACCTCTCTCTCTCTCTCTCCCTCCCTCCCTCCTTCCTTCTTTCCCTCCCTCCCTTTTTCCTTCTTACCCTGTTTCCCTGGAATTGAACCATGCCCTACCACTGAGCAACACCCCCAGCTCCTGTGTGTAATATTTCAATAAAATTTTAGATGAAAAGCTTTTTAATGCAATGAAATGTTTTTGAATATTCCAGTCTAACTCATTTGTGGTCTCAGATGTTTACAAAGTGAATTAATAACTGATAATGTGTTAAAGTTTGTAAAGTTTATTCACCTATGTTTTCACTTAGTGATTTTCAACAATCACATCTTAATAATGAACTTTGTCACATCGTAAACCTTGAGCTGAACTTTGCCCTGCAGGAGTGCACATCTCAGCCTATTTCAGCAGCACTGAGGACTGTACTTGCCACTGTCTAGGCCAGCTGGCTTTAGGAGACACCTCCTCCCTGGACTACTCTTATTAAACATTTTTTTCTAGTACTGGGGATTGAACTAGGGATTTATAAATTCTAGGTAGGCACTCTACTGCTAATCCACATCCTCAGTGCTTTTTAAAACTTTGAGACTTGGAATTTGTGATCCTCTTGCCTCAGCCTCCTGAGTTACTGGGATTATAGGCATGTGCCAGCACACCCAGCCCCTTGTCAGTCTTTGGTTCCCCCAAAGGTAGTGACTTAAGAAAGATGGAACACTAAGACAGAGAATGGGCACTAGTTTTACATTCATGTCTTTTGCCTTAAATACAAAGTCATGAGTCATCCTGTAGACAGTAGCTGTCACTGAGGGAACGCTTCAGTTGTCTGATGAGCTCTGTCCTCCAGACTTGCTTGGCTGTGGGGTGAACCTCTGGCCAGGGACAGGTGGGCACCTGTGTCAGCAAAGTTAGTGTGCATGTTCTGATTTCTGTTACTATAATCTTCTTAAACGGAGGACTTGTGATAGCCAGTTATATTTATTTGGAACAAAACATAAGTAGATGAATTTCTAATTCATAGAGGCACGTGGAAATCTGATATTATCTTTAATTTTTTTATTGATCTGAGGAAATTTTAAATTAGAATTTTAAATGCTCTGTTGAAATTATCCTTTGGAGAACAATAAGGAAGAGAAGGCACAACCATCTCATTCAAAGTTTAAATCTGTTCATCTGGGTATCTACCATTATAGTTCTTCTCCTTAATGTTTACAGAGAAGGAACAAGAGGCCCTGTGAGATGTTTAATGTTTTAACTACAAAGATTTTCTCTAATTTCCCAGAATACAACCTTTTACTGAGAGGCCAGAGAAGACTACACAGCTTGTAAGATGTGTTTGGTAAAGGACATTGTGGTGGTGGTCTGGAGTTAAGTGGTGCTTTTGTTATAAGCCTTTGTTCTTCTAAGCTGTAAACAAGCTCCCTGGACCTGTGATGCAACTGACTTGCTAAAAATGTGGTCTCCAGACTGATGGCCAGTAACCCTTACTTGTCAATTGGACTCATAGAAAAACCCGAGCTGCTTCTGATAGCTCTGAATGCAGTGTGTGATGGATGCTTCATTCTTTAGCTGATGACTGTATGGAAAGAGTGGGGAAGTGGATATCTGCACAAAGAGGCTTCCAGCAGTGATCACAGGGGCTCCATGTTCTCATTCCCCAGCACACAGCTGCAGCCTTCCTGTGCCGGGGTCCCAGGATAGGCCTTTCTTAGTGACAGTGGTCCTGGAAGCTCTCCCATCTCTGCAGTGGTTCCCTGAGATGGTGAAATGGGGATATGAAGTACAGTTTTCTGCTGAAATATCTGTTTACATTGCAGATTTAACATTCTGTACAGAGACTCATTCATTCACAGAACATTTATTAAACATCATCTATTTGCCAGGCAGGCTTTGATCTTCGGAGACTCAAGAGTGACAGGAGGATGGAGGGAGAGTTGGGAAGCCACAGGATCCTTCTGTGGTCTACACTCTGCTCTGTGGGCACCCTCGGGTCTTCATTGTATCCTTTCCCTCCAGGAGTGGAGACTGTGGAGTTTTGGTGAAGCACATAATATTCCCAAGAAGCATCATTTAACCTTTCCCCAAAGGACGTGGAAAAAAAAGCTGATGCTAATGTAGAAATGGAAAAAGCAAGACTTAAAAAAAAGAGGAGCATTCTTGTGGGCTGTTTGACCTTCCTGTTCTAGACAGTGTCCCTTGGCATGAGTTCAGCCCTCTCTTGTCTCCTCCTGGCAGGAGACACATTTTCCCGGACCAGCAACATCCTTTATCCACTGACCATTTCAGAAATGTTATCTCTAAATTGCCAGCAGAGGT